GGAATCGGCCTGGTCTGGCGCTCTCGGAGGGTTGAATGCGTGAAAAAGACGTGGTTTTCTCTATTTCTTGAGGGTTTCAGACCCGCCGTTAGTTCCGTTGTGGCGGAATCGGCCTTGTCGGGCGCTCTCGAGGGTGGAATGCGTGAAAAAGACGTGAAAAAGATTCTCTGTTTCTTGAGGGTTTCACACCTGCCGTTAGTTGCGCTGTGGCGGAATCGGCCTTCATACCCCCCAACCATATCCTCAGAAACTCTATCCAACAAACACGCATATATGTGACCCTTTTCTTCTCCTTTCTTCATACCATTCCCTCCCCGTCACCTCTTCACCACCTCGACGCTTCTTCAGAGCTATAATTCAGCCGAGTCTTCTGCCTTTCTCCAAAACCTTTCCGTCCCTCCCGGTCCGGCCTCTATGCTCTTGTGTACCTCATGCCACCACCGACGTAGGCGGCCACAATTCTAAATATTCCAACACTGTGCAGAGGCACTCACATCTTTTTCCCTTGGGCTCCTATTCCTCCTTCCCGCGAAACATAGACACTAATGCAACTCTCTTGCTGACGCATCTCCCCGGGTCGGCGGCAGGGGCGGCAGCCCTTAATCCGGGCGCCGGCCAGGACGCCCGTGGCATGCCCGGAGGGCCTTCGGTGGTAACCGAAGGTTATAGACGGTCGCGCCGGCTGCCGCCGACCCTCGTCACGAAAACGGGGGGACCCCGTCGTCACTACCGGGTCACTGAAGCCCCTGTAATTTACAGTGTATCGTGTGTGTGAGGTATAAAAAACACTGTTTTTACAGGGTTTCGGGCCCCTCGGCAGCCGAGAATTTCAGCTTGGCGATGTCAAAAAACGTAGGTTTTTCCAGTGTTTTTGCTTGGCGGGAAGGAAAAGCCGTAAAAAGTTGTATCGGAAGATTTTTTCAACATAAATTGCCTAACATATCCCCAACATAGGCCCAAGATAGCCAACATATCCCCAACATATGCCCAACATAGCCTCCAAGATGGCTCAACATAGAGCCAACATAGGCCAACATGGGGCCAACATACGCTAACATAGGCCCAACATAGGCCCAACCTAGGCCAACATAGGCCAACATACGCCTAACATAGGCCAACATAGGCTCCACATGGGCCCAAGATGTGCCCAACATAGACCACATGGGCCCAACTTGGCCCAACCTAGGGCGAAGATGCGCGCCAGATAGCTTAACTTTGCTCAATATAGGCCCCACCAAGGCCAACATAAGCGCGACATACGCCCCACAGACCCAAGTGGGCCGGCGCCCGGCTGTTAGGCGTAAGCCTTTAAATATATATTTCCGGGAAGCGTGCTCCTCCGCGTTGCTGTAGGATTGAGAGGTAGGAACCTGTACAAGTGGACGAGATACGGACGAGACACACAATTGTCAGGCAGTCTTGGGATACAACAGTGTCGTTTGCAATCCAACAAAAGGAACTGAATAGTTCTCACAATCGATCGCTGACTTCAGTTTTGACTGCCTCTGCATCACCAGACAGCAACATCGTGGCCTCGGGAAGGGGCTCTGAATTGATTGATGTGCTGTGCGTGTTGCGTGTATCACACTATGTCATGTGACAGTGACATGTGTGTCTGCATTTGTGTGTCTGTCTGTCTCTCTCTCTCTCTCTCTTGCATCGGGTCACCTTGCCACAGCTGTGGCAGGGGCCGCAGAAGAAACAGCCAAATAAAATGAAACAAATGGGTGCATATGATCAAAGCATGAATGTATTGTTGATGTTCTTGGATGCTCATAGCCCTGTTTCTCACAGCCCTGGTTCTGCTAAAATCGAATAACAGTCCAACAGAATAACATCATTTCAGAAACACTGCATGCGGCTTCTCAAAGTTCCGAGCAGGAGATAGTGGCAGCGGTTCGGCCTAGAAATCAGGCAAGTGACAAGTTGAAAACGGTTGAACGGACATCCTGGACAATTTGTGGCGTTGCCACTCTTCAGCAATCAACGATCAACATGTCGAGCCTCAAAGGCTCCAAAGCCCTCCGGCGGTGCAATGGCGGACCGCCGCGGGGTGGGCATCGCCTGGCAACGACGCTGGAGTTCCACGGCATGATGTACGTCCAGCTTCGATGGGAAATGGGAAATGGCCAGACACTGGGGTGGCTTGAAAAGATTTCAT